CCATAGAGCTGAAGCTATACCGGCGAAGGGATTCCCACAAAAATGTGAATGTGGAAGTCGTGTCATGAGATTTACTTCAAAAACATACAACAATCCCGGAAGAGTATTTTTTCGATGTGCTAATCAAGAGGTATTGTGTATAAACATGATTTATGTAGGTATAAATATTGGTTGATTTTCTGTTTTGGATGTCTAGATGAATCGCATTCCTTTTAATCTTGTTTTAGGGTAGCAGAAAGCATGTTTTCAAATGGTTTGATGAAGCTACGATGGAAGAATTCGACAAAATGAAAGATGCATTTGAATCACTACAGAGAGAAATGGAGAAATTGGTATGCAATGGTGAAGAGAAAAAAATCGAAGCATTGACACATGAGTTGGAAATTTACAAAGCAAAAGTGGAAAAAATCGAAGTCTTGGCAAAGGAGTTGGAATTCTACAAAACTAAAGTGGAACAAATTGAAGCCGATAAATACAAATTTGTGTTTATCTTAATAGGAATTGTTATGTTTTTGTACTATTTTGGTTTATCTCGACTTTAAGTTTGTATTTGTTACGAGGGTTAGTGTTCTGGTATTACTTATGTCGGTTGTTTTTGTATGAACAATGGGTTAATGTTTTGGTACTACTGTTCTCGGTTGTTTTTGTATGAACAATGGGTTTAGGGTTTAGGGACTACTATTCTCGGTTGTTTTTGTATGAATTATTGGTTTTAGTAAGTATCGCATTTGTGATAGAGTTGTCTTTTGTGATTTTGTGTACGATTAAATTTGTACCAAACAAAAAAATATGCAACATACCATGTCTCAAACATTAAGTGTTTCATACTAAATAAAAAAAGACCCAAAGATCCAATACAAAAAGGTTGTAACATTATATATGTCTCAAAATGATCCAACAAACATAAAGGTTGCAACATTACATATCTCAAAATGATCCAACAAGTTTGTAAAAGTCTCCAGCATAACATCTCTTAAAATGTCTGAAAATAATCCAACATGCTAGAAGTGTCAAATCCAATCAGCATGTTTTCGAAGGTCCATCGCGTTGAACATCTTTATCATTTCCAGATCTGTGAAAAAGATGAAACAACGATTAAAAATTGAATACTATTGTCGAATAGTTTCTAAAATGCTAATTGTATATCAAACTTACACCATATTACTACGATTCGGCCGTGGGATATTAAACTGATTCTGAGCCATTCCTAGAAGCCGACGACGTCTACTAGTCAGGTTGAAACCAGAATTCACTGTCTGGCTGGATTGAGTGGGTATACAAGTACCTATCATGGGAATTTTCCGTCATATAACCACCGTAAAACAAGCTTGAAAATGCAAAGTAAAAGATGAAATACCTTGAGCCGAGTTTGCATGAGTCTGAGCATTGGATACAGTGTGGTCATCTGAAGTTGATGCTTGTTTTCTTTTCGAAACTGCATTACTGTTCGATGTTGTAGTGCTACTTGATTGTCGTTGCTGTGAACAAAAAAAACAATGGGTCAAAACAAAAAGCAACAAAAAACATGTTAATAAAGTGTTGTAGTTATACCACAGACGCCCTTGATGTCCTTGGAAAGTTAATTGGTTCATACTTGCAAGTCTTTGCATTGTGCCCCGTTTGTTTGTATCGACTACAACGAAACAACCTTCCATGTCGAGTCATGTGTCCAGTTTTTGTAGGTGATTCATGAGGGTCCTTTCTTCGACTATGTTTACTTGGCCGACCAGGCATCTTCCTTTCATCAGGGACTAAAATGGGAGGTTTGTCGGATCTTTGCCATAACGATTCACCATTGACAGAGTTGATATTGTTCTGGTATGTTTCAAGAAATAATGAGAAACATACCTGCAAAAAAATTGAAAGTGAGTCACCAATATATTCAATATAGGCTAAACTGTACGATTTTCCTAACCTTGAAAGTTTGTCTCGAGTCACTTTGATTACAACAATGGCATGTTGACAAGAATTGCCATCTCCGACAAGCACATTGATTTGCAGATAAATCAACCGTGTAAATAACACCAAATTCAGACACCTCATATTTTCCCTGTCCACTTTTTATGATGTGACAATTTCGAGCTCAGGTCAGCATGGTGTCCAACTTCCTCATAAACCTAGGTGTTAACTCAGTTTTACACCTTTCAGCCTGACGTGCTCGTCATGAGTTACGTTGCATTGCTTTTCTGCGGATTTCCTCAAGCATATCAATTAGTGGTCGTAGTCGGGCATTTCTAATCGAACCATTAAAACTCTCCGACAGGTTGTTTTGCACTGCATTGCAACGAGACTCGGGATTGAAAAATGCCCTACACCACCTCCTAGGATTAGCCCACATGAAGGCTTCATACGCCAATGGATTGTACCTTCTAATGTCAAGGGCATATCCTTCGAACTCACGGACTAGGTAGCATTTTGCAGCCTTCCAGAATAGCAACTTCAATTCGAGATCCTTGAATTTCTTCTTGAAATTCGCAAATATCTGCCGTGTGCACATCCTATGCTCGGACATAGGAAGCTCGTTTTCAACTGCAGTCATTAACCCCTCGAAAACAAAAGCAAATACAACAAGATTAACACATTTACCAAGTGTAAATAGATAGTACTTTCAAAGAAGAATGATATATCAATTACCTTTTGATTGTCGGACATTATAGTCAGACCCTTTCTATCATCCAATCCCAAATCTATTCGCAATTTCCTCATAAACCAGGTCCATGTATCTGTATCTTCGATACATACAACTGCTCAAGCAATAGGGAACATGCCGTCATTGTCATCCCTTCCAACAGCAGCTAGAATTTCACCCTTCATCTCCCACTTCAAAAAAAACCCATCCAAACCAATAATCGGACGACAATGTGCTTTCCAGACCTCTCGTAATACTCCAAAACTCACGTAGAAACGGTCGAATACTCCCTGATGCTTTGACACTTTAGCTAATCCGACTTCCGTAGTGGTATTAGGATTTGACCTAATGAGCTCTAACTCATAGTCCCACAGCTTCTTAAACTGGATTTGAGGCTCTTCCATCACCATTTTCAATGCAATACGTTTTGCCTTAAAACATTTACTAGGAGTGACCGTCAAACCATAACATCTTTGAATGTCAATCTGCATTTTTTCAGCTGTGAAGTGCAGCTCTATTCTAATCCTATCTGCATACAACCTCGCAATTTGACGCATTGTCAACAAACTTGCATAAGTATCTTTCTCGTGGTTATGATCATCCTTATAAATTTTGATCATCCACTTGCTTATAGGGACCTCAACCGAGCAATAAACCATCCACAGACACCTTACATTGCAACATATAGCTTCCAATTTCGTCTTATCCCACCTTGACAACTTCACATTGAATTTCTTATCCAACGCATAATCAAACAATGCTTTCTTAAACTCTTCCCCTGAGTTGAAAGTTCTTTCAAGATATAAAAACTCATTTGAGGGAAAAGCTGAGTCTTTCTTTCTCGGTGGATTATCAAAGCTTTTCCATTCTTCATCTGTGTTTTCTGGGGTTGGTGGGATATTTCCATCACTATCTATATACTCATCAGACGAGCTATCACCATTATCCTCCTTCCACTCATCTCCATCAACATCACCAACCGGATCACAGGGGACTTCTTCAACAAAATCATCACCATCAAAATCAAAATCATCAAAGTCTTCAATATCATCATCACTATACTAACATTCATCGGACAATGAATCATTAACATCACCATCCTCAACAAAATCTTCATCGTCACTATCATCATGACTACCATGGTTATCACCCTCAGCAGCTGAATTTTCCCATGTAAGTCGGGGACGTGGTTCTACATCTGGCTCTATCTCCTGGTGGTCAATAAAAGCATCCAAACTATCATCTAGTCTTGCCATTTCACACATTTCACATATTTCACTGTCCACCATCTCTTTCTGAACCCTTCTTTTCTTTTCCAGAGACTCTCTTGGCAACTTATACTACATTTCTCTTATTGGAGAGACTATCTTACGAGATTTGACAAACTCTTCAAATGTGAACCAACACAGAATATCTGAATCAAACCAAGCTCCTCTCTCAACTAACCCACCTAAGTAATAACTTTTGCCATTTACTTCTTCCATAAACCCACCTAGATAAAAGTTAATCTGAATCCAGCTGCATAAATTTACAAAACTAAGTCTTAACTTTCTTATTCTACAACAATCAGTTTTAACTATCGAAAACTAACGAAGTGTTGCAACCCAGGAAACTTACCTCATCTTGGCAGGAGTAGGACCGAACAACCGAGCCGGAGCGACCAACCGAAGCAGAGAAACTGGAGCAGGAGCGAACGACCGAAGCAGGGAAACTGGAGTAGGAGCGAACCACCGAGCCGGAGCGAGCAACCGAAGCAGGTAAACTGGAGCAGGAGCGAACCACCGAGCCGGAGCGATGAAGCAGAGAATCTAGAGCAGGAGTGAATCACCGAAGCACGAGCAAACCACCGAGACGACTAGGAGCCACGCCGGAGCAACACCGACACGAGTCGGAGCTACGTCGGAGCTCGTCTCACCGGAGGAGTTTTCCAGCACCAGAGGAGGAGAGAGAAGCGGAGAGGAGAGGAGAGAGGTTTTGAAATGAGTTTCTAATTTAGGGTTTCGAATTCGAAACCCTAAATCATCATTTTTTTTAAAAAAAATCGGTTTACACTTAACCGGTTTGATTAAATGAACCGATTCCAGTAACTGAATTGTTGACATGGCAGGTTATGTGTCATCTGACGTGGCATATTTTTCGATGAGTGGTGACACATCAGCCATCAGATGCTGATGTGGCAGGGTCTATCTTTTTTGGCGGTAATTAAAAATTTTCAAAACAATTCGTGATGGAAATTGGAAATATTCGAAATCGACTGGGGGATTATGTCAAATTAAAAATTGATGTACTAATTTTACACATTTGATATAATCTGTGTGGATTTTTGCCATTTTCCATAAATAAAATAAAATAAACCAAAAAAAGGCCAACGTTAGCAATATTTCTTTCATTTCTTTGATTGAAACATCCTGCAAAGTCATGCGCATGCTATCTGTTCTTGAGAGGGATGAATCGTCACGGTCCAAAATATTAATATACAATTAATGACCATATATTAATGAATCCATGAACGATCATATGATGAATCTTGTCACTGTTTTTGGTAATCTACTGATTCAGGGACATGGCATGTTGCTCCAAGTACTCTTTGCTGTTCATCTCGGTCAATCTGCAACGACAAGACGAAGTTTCTTCGGTCGTGTTCTATATCGGGTAAGTAAGATTAAACTAAATCGGTTATATTACCGGCTGATGGTTCGGTCTTTTGCGAAACCTAACTCGTTGTCCACACAGATGTCGGAGCTATCGTTCTTGATCGATCTCGACGATGTCCGAGGAGACCTGTGCTTAGCGTCCGACACTGTCATAACCTTGTCGAATAGTTCTTGAGGACTGCCTTCTGCCGTACACAGCAGCCTTGCCTTGTTCTCGTACATCACCTGCAAACACCCTACCCGTCAGATCCATCGGATACGATGTTTCTCTCCGGAAAAAAAAAACGATTTGAAGAAACGGGCATTACTTACGTCTACCAGAGTGACGAATCTATAGGCTGCTGTCCGGTTTTGAAGCCCGAAAACCGGAACTCCTTCCAGAGCAAGAGTATGGAAACTCTCTGCGACATTATGAAGAAGAGAACCAAGTTAGAGACAAGACAACTTTCTGCACATGAAAAAATCGGTATTAAGGTCGATGATTGCAGATTACTCACTGCAGAGCCCGAAATAATCTGCAGCTCCGAGAGGGCGGTCGCATAATTCGTCGAAAGGAAAGTAAGCACATCCTTTGGCGCCTAATGGAATCTGCTCATAAACAAATGGAAGAGATTAAGACCGGAGTAGAAGAGCAACACAACCACACTTTTGCCAACCAGTGTGAGCCTGTACCTGTAATGTTCTTCCCATCACGACTTCTACTACTTGTGGACCCGCGATACTGTCTCCGATCAGTAGCTGGAACTTCTGCTTCAAAAGGGTCGACAGGTTTTTCCCGATGAAGTAGAAACCTTGCTCGGCCTGCCTCAGTTTCAAGAACATCAGAAGAAGGTTATGGTGTGGATTCCTGATACGGATGATACAGTTTGATGAGTTTGCAGAGGGATCTGAGGTGTCATTACCGAAGTCAGTTTCCGGTAATCTACCGATGAACCAATCTCGTGAACCACATTCCTTTCCTGCAAAATGACGGGAATTTCTGGATTTTGACAGAGTCGGGGACAAGAGAGGGCCGAAGCCGAGCTGTGGGATATGGAGAGTAACAAGCTACCTTCAATGTGGAAATGAAGGGTAGGAAGAGATCTCTCTGCAATCCTCCTTCGTAGAGATTATCGGGAGCTCGGTTTGAAGTAGATACAAGAATCTGCATCGAAAAGACAGTTCCAGCAAATTCGGACAGAACCCGGAAAACAGTTTAACAGTAATATGATAGATCACTTACGAAGCAAATTCGGACAGAATCCGGAAAACAGTTTAACAGTAATATGATAGATCACTTACGATGCCATTGCTGAACAGATGTCTGAAGAGCCGATTCAGTATCATAGCATCTGCAACATCAGTCACCTTGTAACACAAAACAAAGTTTCCAATGCAGAAAATCAAGATGGGTCATTCGAAAGAAGAGAACTTTCATCAAAATATTTGTGCATATACACTCTTTTTTTTTTGTTATACCATGAATTCATCTAGACATAGTAAGATCGAATCGTCGGCTATTTCTCTGGCTACAACTTCGAGTGGATCTGCTAAACCCTTGTGCCTCTGCAACATTGTGAACCCGAAACATAAGAACTTTCTGGCTAACAATCCAAAGATTTCGAATCGAGAGATTAAAACTTCTTTGGTTATATCCTACTTGCAAACGGCTATGAACGTTCAACATGAAATCATGAAAATGAATCCTCTGTTTCCTCCAATTGCAAGGCCTGAAACCGATTCAAAAACGACAAGAACGATGAATCAGAACATTCAAGAAGTTTTCAGTTACGATGAACATGTTTTACTATTTTGTCAGAACTTACAATTGATCAAAGAACAAGTCCATTAACATAGTCTTTCCTGTTCCAACCCCTCCATAGAGGTACAGTCCCTTGACGGGCGAGAACGATGATGACTGAGGCATTATCCGAGACCAGAACCATCGGCTTCTGAGAACAGAAAAAACTGAACAACATGAAACAACACTTCTTGGTCCTATCGGCGAGAAAAAAAAACATACGAGATCAAGAAAAAAACCCTGCCTTGTCGATTTATCCGAAGTCCTATACCGATCTAACTGACATTCATTTTCTGATTCCACGAGCCCATCATACAGCCTCTGGAGCTCTGCCAACGCCCCAAACTGCGAAAATCTCATTCACTCAGAAATCCTTATAGTTCCAAGAAACAAAAGACAATGTGATATCATCACCCGAATCAAGATTTCCATCTGGAAACTCGGGATATGTTCGTTTATTATATTTGCAGAATTCTACAGTCTGATCATCGATGAGATAAAGGGCGGTTCGTACTTGGCACATATCGCCATTCATGAGCTCACCAGAGGTGATTCTTCTCTCATACTCGATAAGGGGGCCCGTTCTATTTACATCTACAAATGGAGATATTCAACCATACACAATCAAATCCACAGCTATGTTCAGATTCAGAAATCTCACGTAAAATCAATTAATAGAATTGCAAGAGATAACCTGAAACAGAAACAGTTTGTGCGGAAGCATCAGCAGCTGCAGTTGATAAAGCTCTCAAGAAACTAACCCTTCTTGAACACAAAGCTGTATCAATATCGCCATTGAAATTGATCTGAAGAGCATGATTCTGATTGGTATTGATCAAATGGGTGCGGTTTTTTGTTTGGATGCTTAGAAAACTGCGTTCTTGATGCCTGAAAGGCCATCTAAAGTTGCGAACAGATCGAAGAATCGGTCTCATCTGACGATTGTGAAGAATCCGACCAAAACAGGAACAGCAATCATGCAACTGAGTTGCAGGATCAGATGCTGAAACCAGACACAAAAATATTCATAAGAAATTGATTCAAAGTTGAATATAATTACGAAATTTATGGGTAAAGACAAAGTAAAAAAAAAAGATAATTCAAAACAATATGAGCATCAGTATCACCATAGAAAATCAAGGAGGAGGAACTAAAATATTCAAAGCATCAACCACTGTTCCTGGAAAATTAGTATATACATATACATATATATACACATATAGACCACATATACATACACCTATATTGTAATCAGCGTAACCCTTACTACCGATAGCTGAAGCAGAGAAATTGGTGAAAGCAGAGGAAAAAACCTATATTTTTACTGGAGGCAGATAAGAACGACCCTGAGATGCCAGAATTTTTATTTGTCCCTGCTTTTATTCCCGGAAAAAAAGGAGGGAATTTTATCGGTAGGACAACGCGATGAGAACGGGAGAAAAAATTCAAAATTTTGGATTTTGCGATTAGATTATGATATTTCTGATCGGGGAGAAAATTGGGTAACAGGAAAAAAAAAGTTAAATAAAAAAAAGCAAAAGATTTGAAGGTACGATGATGTTTTGGTAATGGGTGTCTCGATAAGACAGGCACCCAAAGTTTCAGGAAGGAGACGAAGTATATGATCGAGGAAGAGAGAAACGATGAAGAAGACGGATTGGAATTAGATAGAGAAAAGGAAACGTGAGCAAATATTATAATCCTTTTTTTTTAAAAAAAAAATACGAAAAACTATAATTAGATTGCCGTTTTTGGCCTCTAATTACACCATTTGCAAAAGTAAAAACCCTACGATTGGTTGTTTCCATTTTTTCCCTTTTATTGTTTTTAATAATATATTCCATATTCATAGACTACAGAAAATATTTGTTCATAGACCAGAACTTCACGTGATATCTAGAGTGTTTTTTGTTTGCAATAGGTACTTATTTAATCATGTATTTTATTTATAAAAAGTATAAATAATTTGAAAAATATATCAAAATAGTATAATCCAAATTTTATTCAATAGATATCTAGACATATGATTGTAATTAACAGAGGCAAGTGAAATACTTAAAAAAGATAAAAGAAATATCCTCGTATTATCTTTCTTGAACATTTTATCTATACATATGGGAATTTTATCGATGAAGCATCAATACTTTTACTATAATTAAAAAAAATAACATTATTTCACATATGCGTGTTTTATTACTAATTTATTGTGATTATAATGAATAACTTGTTGTCGGAGAATATTTTAAGATAAGATAAATATACGTATTTAAGGGTGTAGATAAAGATGGAATATCGAAATTTTGAACATGTTTGGAATTGTGTCAGGATATTTCAGATAAATCTAAGATATAATTACATTTTTCGTATAATTCAGAAATCTAAATTTCTTTTATTTGAAAAAAATACTTGTATATTTAAAATCCAATATTTAAATAAAATTAAATTATTATTTAATTTTTAATAAATATAAAATTTATTTTACAATTTTCAATTTTTTGAATTAGGATATTTTATTTTAATAAATATTATAGATATTTTATAGTTTGTGAGATATAAAAAAAATTAAAAAAATACTTGTGCGTTGCGTGTGTGTGTATATATATTGTTGTAGATTGGGATAATTTTGGCCAACTTGTCTATATAAAAAAAAGGATATATAGAATTTGGGGATAACGAACGAGGGTATGGGTTGGATGGGTGAGTATTGGACTTTAATGGAAGTGGGCATTACGCATGCCAACGAATATCCACGTCAGTTCTTGCGGGAAAAATTATGTCCGTTTCCGACCATGCAATTTTTCTTTATTTAAATTTTGTTTCTTTATTTTTGCCATATATATATATACACATATAAGTGTTTCCTCCGCTGTATAATTCTTTTTTTTTATCATGTTATTATTTTCCGCATAAATAACAAATTAGTTGGTCAAAGATCTATCTCAACGTATTTATTATGAGAAAGAATGAATTAATAAAAATACTCGAATTTTGTCAAAATTCGATCACGACCCCATTTTTCAAACCAACTTATAAAATGAAATTCGTTTATCTTTCGTATAAATAAAAAAACTTTATTTGAACATATTAAACCATCTGTCAATCGAATTCAATGAGAGAGAAAAAAAAACCTCAGACTTGTTACCATCTGTGTAACGCACGAAATTCGTATTCCGCAATACGAGCTGTATCACATGGCCAATTAAAATAAAAACTAACTTCCAAAAATCCGCGGAAATTTAAAATTTTTATTTTCAAAATTAGCGGAAAAACACACATATATACATTTATGATACATTATTCTCAATTATAATTATACATAGTCGAGTGGTAGTATAATATTATTACAAACCTTAAAAGTCTACCACCGATATAACACAAACTGTTTCCCAAAATATAAAGGTATCAAAATACGTAATTATACATGATCGGTAGTAGTACACTGCCAGGTCTCCGATGTCCGCTCCTCGGCTACTGCTGCTCACGACCTGAAACGTTGCGTAACAACGTTCTAAACTAATTGCTTAGAGAGTGAACTCGGGCGTAACCTGGAGTTCTATTCTCATGAAACCAGGGAAAGCAAATACATATATATATACTAATATTCTAATAAATAGGAATCAAAAACATAGAATCCATGATAAGCATATCAGCAATCACAATCAAGTCCATACGACAAGTCGCAGGACATAGTCCGTCAAATCATCTCTACGCGCACCATGCGTAGGTAATGTACTCCCCATGTGCACAACACAACCGCTTCTCTCCTCGGAATCCATCTACTCCGCAACCACTCGGATCCAGCATAAATATATTTTTCTCCACCCGAACACATCACCCCACCCTAGCATCGATGTCACCTCTCCATACTAGACGTGTCACCCTACTCTGGCATTGATGTCACCTCTCAATACCGGAGCTCACCATACGTCGGCTACAACCGACGTCATCGACTATAACGGCAGAGCCAATCACTGCAACTCCCCCTCGCCGACCATTCGCCGCGGAATTACTTGTCAGGTTCGGGCCCGAACCTGCTAGAGTAAGTCCATACCACCTCCTCGGGAGATCCCAATCTACCCGAATCTTACGTATGTGTGATGCCTCATCCTCGGGATACTCATATCCCGGGGTCCGCTCCGTCGCTAACGGAAACGTTGGCGCGGTTCCAAGAACCGTATGTTCCTCGTCACGCAATAGTACCGACTACAATCGGCTATCTACGCAAATCATCGGGGTGTCCATAACCGTCCTATCATTCGGACGTTGGCGCGATTATATCATCGCCACATTCACAATCATATCCCATATGGGTGGCATCCGACCCGGATCGGATGGCCCATGAATGGGACGCAATCTCGCAAACATCGTGCAATCATTCACAAACGTCTGTTTCTACAATCACGCGCTAAACGTTAATCCGAACCCTTTCGAATTAACGCTAGTGTCATGCCAGCTACCCCAGTCACACATATTTATATAGTTTAGTTACTATACATGCATTTTCGCTTGCGTAGTCTTTTATATTTATTTATATATTTTCTTTAAGTCTTTCCATTCATATTACCGAATTGTACCTCCGGTATGATCTATCTGGTCTCGGTCCGCCCGGATAACCAGTTCGGTTCATTCCATGGTTTTTAACCTTACGTCCAGCTACCCCAGTCACACATATTTATATAGTTTAGTTACTATACATGCATTTTCGCTTGCGTAGTCTTTTATATTTATTTATATATTTTCTTTAAGTCTTTCCATTCATATTACCGAATTGTACCTCCGGTATGATCTATCTGGTCTCGGTCCGCCCGGATAACCAGTTCGGTTCATTCCATGGTTTTTAACCTTACGTGTTATTCATTTTGGGTCCAGACTACGTGGGGTCCGGTCTGACCCGTATTTTCGGTATATTTTACATTTTTCACTTTTTCACTATTTGAACCGGGGTAATATTGGTTCGTCTAGTCTAGTCTTTCATTTTATCACATGATGAATTTTTAAGGTTCCGTTACTCTTTTTTTTCAAACCGATCGGTCTAGTCCCTAGACCGATCGTTCCAGTCGGTTCGGAACGGACGTTCCGCCTTGTCCAGACTGGACGGTCTGGCTGGTGCAGAACAGACGTTCCGGACTATCCAGAATGGACGGTCTGGACTTCGTCTTCAACCTCTGGACTTCGCGTTTTCTCCTGCAGACCTAGAACAGACGGTCTGGCCTCAGTCCGGACGTTCTGATCCTCGGATCTCATCAAAAACACTCAAACATGCATGATTCACTATGGGTAGTTCATCAGAAGTCATATAATTTCATGTAGAACACGAATCAAACATCAATATGACACGAAACACACAGAAATCCAAAATCCTATGTCAACAGACTTCCAAATTAAACTCGAATTCACTCACCTCGGGTTAATCTCGTGTTCTAGGTAACGGATAGGAAGCTTGGGGACGCTTCTCTTGCTCTGTAGAAACCGATTTGGGTGCGAATCCTTTGGTTTTGACAGAGAATTTCGGGGTTGAAGTTAAAGAGAATGGAGAGAGGAAAATGATGAGAAGAACTCGGATTTTTGGGCAGATTTCTGTAGAAAATCCGGACTTAGACTTAGACCGGTATGATTGAGCTATAGGGTCCCTAGGGTTGAAAAATCGTGATTTTTGTCGAAGATTAGTGGGTAAATGTCGTTTTCAGCCAAATCCGGACGAAAATCGCGACTTTGGTCGCTGCCGACAGTCGGGTCCGTCTGTTGCATAATTTATGGTCAGCGGTCTGTCCGGTCTGGCTTCACCGGTCCGTCCGTTCTGGTGTCTCTAGACCGGACGGTCCGGATTTTTTTTTAAAAAAAAACTGGGTTGTTACAATTTGCTAATTTTTTTTGGTAACATTTCAAGAGTTTTTAAGTTCTAATGTATCATGTGAGTTTAAACAGATAATTAATTGACAAGATCATGCATTTTATTTTGGTACAGATTAAAATTATGGAAACAGTCCGATTATTTTTACTAAAATCACAGATTTATGCAATGTTATAACAAAAAGATTATGGGCCAAATAATGGGTCTGGGCCAGGAAACGAGATATGCGGCCCATGTTTACGATAAGTCAAAGCTTTTGATTGACTTTGCAACTGCGGCCTCTGTTTTGTGTTTCGTGGAGACGGGAGAGAGAGAGGATGGCGAATCAAGGAGCGAAGAAGCGAAAGGAGGAAAACGCTCGACACATGGCCAAACTCCGTCGTCTCATCATCGGATGCAATGTACTTCCCCTCTCTCTTTCATCTATATACCTATTTGGAGTTGTGATCTTTTGGATTTTGATACAATTACGTACACGAAATCGCGAAAGCTTCGGGTGCGAGAAAGTGACCGATTCGCTTCTTTTTGTGCTCAGATTTTCGATTTTTAGGTCAACCCAGATGATTTATTTCAACAAATTCGAGGATTCGCTTTTGTGATGCGCGTTGTTTTTGTGGAAATATAGGTCGTGTACATCATAGCGAGGATGCTGATTTTCCACTCAAGTGTTGCTTGGAAACACTGGATTGGTCTGCTCATAACGTCTCTGGCTTACGCGATTCCGTATAAGCAGCTTGATCAGATGGCAAAACCTAGCTTTACCGATAGTGGCGAGCTTATTGATGGTGGATTCGACATGACAAGCGGTGGTATTTGTGGGTATGTTCCCATGTTGTCTGAATGTTTTTCACTCTTCAATCATTATCCGGTTTAAAGTCTGAATCTTTTGGCTGGTACTTCTTCCTTTGAACAGGAGAGTTGTTGTTTGAGGGTTTTGTAATCTTAGTCTGGATAATACTTAATGATTGAGTGATAAAACTGGTAATATGGAAAGTTTTTACAGTGTTGTTCTTATGGGGTCATCTGGATTGTGTATAAGTTTATCTGATGCATATATCGATTTTGAATGTTTCGTTTCCATTCTTTGCAGATATTTGCATGATGTAGTCTACATCACGATGTTCGTGCAGTTAGCATCCATCATCTCCGACAAATTTTGGTACACATATCTATTGGTAAATCCCGTTTTCTCTCTCTTTTTTATTGATCCCATAAGACAGGGTGTGAGGCTTGAATGCCGCCTTAAGGAACAGTAGGATCAAGAATAACAGCTGAATGTTTGTTTCCTTTAGATTCCTGCATTTGGTGCTTACAAAGCTTCTGGTCTTGTTCGAGGGTTCTTGTCTCATGGTTCAGAGGTAATCAGCTCATTCCTAGTAAAAGCAGGAGACAAAGCTTATTACTGTGCTTTAACTTAACCTTAAAGGTTCTGTGTCCGTGCCTGAACCAGGGAGAAGTGGAAGATGAGAAAACTCGTAAGAAAAGGGAGAAAATGGAGAGGAAAGCTTCGAGAGGGCAGGCTATCAGGACAAGAACAAGATGAGTATCTTTTTTTTTAATGAACAAACAATACAACACGATCTTTACCAATGTTTTGTCACTTTGAAAATGAGCTAAATTTTGGAACTTTCATCAAAATACACAAATCATGACGGTGAATAGTCGTTTAGGAGTACGCAGTCGACTCTCTGGAGATAAAGCTTTTGATCTTTGAGGTCGTAACCGATATTATAGTACTGCTGAGCCATTAGTCCAATAGCTGTGAAATCCTTAAATTGTACTCCTTGATCTTTGGTTGGCCTTATTGCCATGCAGAATACATCCTGATACGCTTCGGATTTCGGCATCTGGTAAAACAAGCTCGTAGCCTCCAATGCCAATTCAGCCTCCCCTGAAAAACGGAATGTCACGGTCGGAAAACCTATCAGATCTTCAGTCACTCTCCCGTTGTAGCATAAGTAGTCTCTGTACCAGTATCTCTCTAGCTGCCCATCCAAAAGGGTTTTGATTTCGTTGTAGAGTTCCCTATAGGCTGAATCTGCAAGCCATGTGAATAGTGTGCCCGAGTCGAGTATCACCCCTGTTCTCGGCCCTCTTCTTGTGAACGCCCCCGGTTCAATCTCTAGTTGTCTTGACCCGACACTGATGCTTCCTACGTTCACAAAGTAGATGCCACTTTTTGTCTCAATGGGTGTTGGATCCCCAAGAATATCGGCTTCCTCACCTAGAACTAGTTGATTGAAGCTATAGTCCTTATCGGTTAGATCGCCGATACAATATGAGAATTTGGACCCAAGCTGTACGGCTAGAGATGTTCGTTTAGAGCCTAGTCCCATGACACCCGTGAACTCCGTGTCCATCTGGTCCCCATTATCGTGGCCACAACCGAAGACAACATTCTGAGCAACGACAGTGTCTCGGGTCGGAGTTGTGAATGTTAACCGTTCTGTACCGAGCACGCCTCTCGACCCACCACCATTTATGTAAACCTGCTCGTAGAGACACTCGTTGGCCGAGCCACAGCGGGAGTTAGGAGCGTACCGGCAGAAGGGATCGTGGCAGGGACAGTTAACGAACGTGGAAGACATTGCGGGATCGAGCAAAGGGCTTGTCTGATCAGGGCAGTATCTGCAGGGGAGACATTGAACCCAAAGCAGAGAGCTTCCAGTGTCCATGAGGCTGAACTGAGGAACTGGAGGCTGTCCGATCGAGAAGTTGACGAAGAACATCGATGTTTGGATCGTACTTTTGATATCGACTTGGAAATCGCTCTCACCCAATCCTTTGCCATCGATCTTATCGCAAAGGTACATCAACCTTGCCGATGAAATATTCATCAAATGATCGATATGGTCTTCGAGGGTGACTCGAGATTGAGCCTTGGGGCTGGAATGCGGCGAACAAGAGATCGAATCTCGGTGAATCAGCTTCATAGCTATTCGTTTAGCAGATTTGTTCGTACCAGATTCGAGTATTCTTCTACTTGTAACCATGGAGCAATCTGGAACAATGAAGAGGAGGAAGAAGAACAATGGTTTCAAAGAACATTCCATTTTGGGAAGAAGACGAAACACAAAACATGGGAAACTCAAACAGGGAGACCATTTGTAGTTTCATCTCAAACACAGAGAGACTAAGAAACTGTGATAGCATGAAGACTGTGTTACTAATAAAAGAATACAAAAGGACCAAACATACCATATGGATGACGACAAAAAAGAAATAATATCGAGACAAGGAACCAAAGATCGTGATTCATGGCTAGTAAACAAGAAGTGAACATCTGGAAATGGAACTAAGCATTTTATATTAATGTCACCTTGTGGTGATGGACGAGATTGAATTCACGTACCAAATTCCATGCAGATTCGTTCTTGTTGTCCATAGCTAGAGCATAGTCCAGGATCTACCCCACCCGTTAAATGTTTTTACCGATATTTTCGCCCTGAAAACATGAGGCAGGAGAAAGAAGATCATCGAGCAAGGCACGAGAAAGAAAGATCATCAGACAACAAAGACATAAATAATCATAGCACAACAACAATTCTGTTAAGAATCAGCATGTGAATGAATCAATGGTCAGTATCCAAGACATGAAAGAAACAAATAGCTTTGAGCCGACAATAAAACTAACCCTTTTTCTTACATTCACGAGGAGAGCAAGTACAGAAGATTCTTGAGTTAAAGTTCAACTCTCTAAGAGAAGCTGCTCAAGCCATGGTCTTCAATAAACAAAGATGCATTGGGGATAGAGAAGGATGTGATTTCCTAAATTCATATTGGTTGAGTAGTTTCCTTGAAACAAGATCGATCAATTAGCAAAACGGTGATTAAGCACCTCGTTCATTTCAGGTAATGCTCTGTTCTGAAAACAAAGAAGGGAACGCGAGAAAGTTGCAGAGAAAAGCAGCAAAAAAAAGAGAAAGCGTGGGAAGATTTTCCGAGTGACCCACACAAGGATTTATATACACATTGGCACGAATTCGTATCAGCGTAAGCTTACGTTACAAATCTTTTATATATAACACATTGGCACGAATTCATATCCGTGTAAGCTTACGTTGTTAGAATATTTTATAAATATTCGCAATTAATATGATTCAATATTAGATTTAAATCATGGATTTTGTAACGGTAACTATTGATGAGGTATAAACGTGATCATTAATAAATGTGCCTAAATCGTAATTTCGGTAAAGTTTAGGAGCTAATGTGCAGATACCAAAAAGTAATTTCCTATAACTTGATAGGCGTTTTAGGAAATATCAGATAGTTAATTCTATAAATGGTAGTGGTCCCTGGATCGTACAGTGGAAAACCACAAAATATTCTTACACTCTTCCCATTTGTCTATAAGTCTGAAAGTGCGTAAAGATCCAGAAGACTACAACCGTGTTTCGTTTGTGTCAATATGATGACAGATTCAGGTACGTATTTTATCGTTCCTATTTGTTTGTTTTGATAAAGCATGTCGTTTGATCTTTGTGACGTCAATTTCCGCATAAAATTCTGTAAATTATTTACAATTGGTATCAGAGCAAAACGATTATGTTTTATTAAGAACTATAAAACAATTTCTAAATCAGTCAATTATTTTGTATATGTGTGTGTATATTGATTGATTAAAATTCGGTTGATGTTTTTTGTGTATTGGTATGAATTTGATACACCGTTAAATTGATTCATGCAAGATTTAGAATATATATATAAATACATTGACTATTTTCAACACGTAGATATATATACGTTTGTGCATGAAATCAAGTCTAGTATATACAAATATTGGTTTGTATATAAATATATATATACATATATTTGAAAGAATTAATTTTCTGTATGTTTAGTTTTTTTTATCAGACGAATGAATTTGAAGTTTCTTGGTTATGGACTATGAGTCCTTGTTTTGTGTGCATATCATGTCTCGTCTGATAAAATTTGTTGATTGTCATGACCGTGAATTCAGTGTCTGAGTGATTTACATTCGTAATTTGAATCCGTATGAACCATGCTCCTCTGTTCAGTATTTTTGAAGGTAAAAATAATATATTCAAATAAAAGGCAATATTCGGTTTATTTTTTTGAATATTTATTTTTGCTTAATCAGAGTTTTTTGGGAAAAAATTTCTAAACAGTTTTTTTGATAACGGAAAAGGTTTTGGAAATCTGTCAAAATTTTCCATTTATATGATTATTTGCTAATCAATTTCTGTTTTGTGGAATTTTATAAAACAGAAATTTAGCATTTGATTCTAGATGTAAATATCGAATTAAATATGGAAACTTGATATTTATGACCTAGAGAATTCAATTTCGACATTAATTTTTGAAAACCGTAATATGTTTTGATTTAGTTTCATTAATAAGATTATACATGATTGTCGCATATAGTTTCCGTTACTAATTTAAATAAAAGGAAATTGGGCTTGAACCCATTATAGTTATTATTTGTTTTTTTTTTTTTGTTTTTCTTAAACAAAAAAAGAGTATATAAAGAGAATTGGGCTTTAGCCCATTATTTTTTAAAAGGTATATATGTATACGTAAATGGAATTCTCGGTCATACGGATTAGGGCATTGGCAGCCCATTTCAGTATGGATGATTCAGACATCTGCGAGTACACGTGAATGTGTACGACGAATGTTCTTCAACAAAAGGCATTCGAGCAGAGACAGATTGTGACCAGTAAATCATGACAATTATACCAAAGTATATTGATTTGCATGTAATACAACTGTTATATATATAAGGGCAGAAAAGTTTTTCATATATATATATATGTATTTGAATAATGCTATATTAAGCTATTAATATTCTATTCGATTAATTTGAGACATCACCTTGCCAAAGTAAGCTCTGATGTCACAAATTAATTCATTCGGAGAATATTATAAAGAATATTTTTTATGTATAAATTTCATGCGGAAAATTTACCGGCCCAAAGGAAGAAAATTTTTGCCAGAAATTTATTACATATATTAAGTAATAAATCAGAATATCATAAAGATTATATATGATTATTGAATCGACCCAAAGGAAGGTTCAATAGATTATATGAGATATTCATGATTTGATTACTATGTCGAATATGCCACTTACAAGTTGATTTTCGATCCAAAGATAGAACATCAATGTTGTATGGTGTATCGTATGTGTTGTCATTATTTGCATGAAAGACTGATTTTTTTTTTCTCTTTTTGATTCAACTATTGCTACCGCAACAAACATTTCAGCTTCGCTGAATTCGGTCCCGATGCTTACGGGAAAAAATTTTAAGGCATGGAAAGAGAACCTCATGATAGTTCTCGGTTGTATGGACCTGGATTTGGCCATGCGTGTTGTTGATGCTCCCGCTGATCTTACACCGGAAAGTACCGATCATCAGAAAAAAGAACGTGAACGTTGGGAGCGTTCCAATCGCATGTGCCTTATGATGATGAAGCGTACAATTCCAGAGGTTTTCCGAGGTTCCATCTATGATGATGAGAACGCAAGTAAGTTCATGAAAGCAGTAGCGGCTCGTTTTGAAAGAAATGAGAAGCAGGAAACAAGCTCGCTTTTGATGAAATTATTTCCAAAAGGTATAAGGGAAATGGGATTCGGGAATACATCATGGAGATGTCTGATCTTGCTTCACAGCTCAAGGCATTCAAGATAGATTTGTCTGATGACTTACTAGTGCACTTGATATTGTTGTCTCTTCCTGTACAGTATGGATCCTTTAAGATCATATACAACTGTCAACAAGCCAAATGGTCTCTTAACGAGCTCATTTCGCATTGTGTGCAAGAAGAAGAGCGATTGAAGCTTGAAAAACCTGAAAGTGCTCACCTTGCGGTCTCTAGAAAGGATAAAAATAAGAAACGTCCTCAGAAAAAGAAAAGTGATGATGGTCCTGTCAAGAAGATGCAAAAAAAAAGCAGGATAAGAGTGGTGCGTGCTTTTTTTGTAAGAAGATGAGACACATGAAGAAGGATTGCACTGGCTATCATGGCTGGCTTGCAAAGAAAGGTAAACTTCTTACTTTGGTTTGTTCTGAAGTTAATTTAACTTCTGTACCACGATACACTTGGTGGATAGATTCTGGTGCTACTACTCACATAAGTGTATCAATGCAGGGTTGCCTAAGCCATCGAAAACCAAGTGATGCTGAAAGATTCATCTATGTTGGCGACGGGAATAAAGTTGAAGTGGAGGCTATCTGCATTTTTAGATTATTATTGAGTTCTTGTTTTTATTTGGATGAGACATTTGTTGTACCGTCATTTAGACGGAATTTGGTTTCTATTTCTACATTGGACAAATTCGGTTATTCTTGTTCCTTTGGAAATGGTTTATTTCGTCTTTTCCGTAATTCGAATTTACTTGGTACCGGTACTCTCTCTAGTCATGATAATCTATATGTGCTTGATACAAACATTTCATATCATGAAATCTTGCATGTTAAAACCCATGGTACAAAGAGAAAATTAGATGACAAGATTTCTGCAAACTTGTGGCATAAGCGATTAGGTCACATATCCAAACAAAGGATAGAATGCTTAGTTGCAGATGAAATTCTTGACATACCCTATTTAACACATTTTCAAGTTTGTGTTGAATGTATTAAGGGAAAACAAACAAACCAAAGACGGTTAGGTGCAAAAAGAAGCAGTGACGTCTTAGAACTAATACATACGGATATTTGTGGGTCATTTCCTACGGCATCTTGGAATGGTCAACAATATTTCATTTTATTCATAGACGATTACTCAAGATATGGATATTTGTACCTAATACACGAGAAGTCCCAAGCTTTGGACATGTTCAAATCCTATGAAGCTGAAGTTGAGAATAAACTGGGCAAAAAAATTAAAGCAGTAAGATCCGATCGTGGTGGCGAATACTATGGTCGCTATGACGGATCTGGTGAACAACGTAGGGGTCCTTTTGCAAGATTCCTTGATGAATGTGGAATAATTCCTCAGTATACCATGCCTGGAACTCCAAGTATGAACGGTGTATCTGAACGTAGGAACAGGACTCTTAAAGATATGGTAAAGAGTATGATAAGTCACTCTACATTGCCAGAGTCATTATGGGGAGAAGCGATTAAAACCGCTGCATATATCCTCAATAGAGTTCCTACAAAAGCAACTAAAAAGACTCCTTATGAGCTTTGGAAGGGTAAAAAACCAATCCTAAAGCATTTGCATATATGGGGTTGCCCAGCAGAAGCAACTTACAAGCCATCAGAAAAGAAACTAAACTTGCGTACAATTAGTTGTTATTTTGTTGGGCATTCAGAAAAATACAGGGGGTACAAGTTTTATGATCTCAAAAACAGATCGATATTCGAAACTGGAACAACCCATTTTTTTGAGGATGTTGAGTTTGGGAATAGAGATAAGGTACGAGAAGTTGCATTTGAGGAAGAATATGTTCATCTTCCCATAATAATTGATCATGATATAACACATCTAGATCAATCGGACAACATGCAACTCCCCGCACTGACTCAAAAGGTTATTCCGGATGAACCAATTCAAGAGGTTATTCCGGATGAACAACCTCAAGAACAGTTGCCATCAAGAAGGTCAACTAGAGCAAGGAGAAGTGCGATTCCAGACGATTATGTCGCATATCTCCAAGAGCATGGAGAAAATGTTGAATTATTAGAAAATGATCCAATAAATTTTCGTCAAGCTATGCAAAGTTCAAACTCTCAAAATTGGCTTGAAGCCATGAATGAAGAGTATAAATCCATGCAAGACAACAATGTCTGGGAACTTGTTCTATTACCTGAAGGCATCAAACCCGTAGATTGCAAATGGATATTTAAAACCAAACGGGATTCTAAAGGAAATGTGGGTAAGTATAAAGCTCGTCTTGTAGCAAAAGGATTTACACAGAAAGAAGGAGTTGACTATAAAGAGACTTTCTCTCTGGTATCTTCGAAAGACTCGTTCAGAACAATAATGGCACCTGTAGCTCATTATGATTTAGAGTTACATCAGATGGATGTAAAGACAGCGTTTCTTAATGGAGACATTAATGAAACGATATATATGACACAACCAGAAAACTTTGTGATCGGGGATTCAAAGGAAATGGTTTGTAAATTAAAGAAATCCATCTACGGGCTTAAACAGGCATCCCGCCAATGGTATTACAAATTTCGACAGATCATTTGTTCATACGGTTTTGAGACAAATGCTGTAGAAGAATGTGTATACCACAAATTCCGTGGGAGTAAGTTTGTCTTATTAACATTGTATGTCGATGACATATTGATTGCCTCTAATGACATATTGATATTAAATGAGACTAAGGTTTTCCTTTCAAAGAGCTTTGAAATGAAAGATTTGGGAAATGCCGCTTTTGTATTAGGAATCCAAATACATCGAGATAGAGCTCGAGGTATACTCGGGTTGTCGCAAAAGAACTATATCGAAAAGATATTAATGAGGTTTGGGATGAAAACTTGCAAAGAAGGGAACACCCCTATTGCTAAAGAAGACAAATTTTGTCTTGCACAATGCCCAAGAAATGAATTTGAGCAAAACCAGATGCAAGAGATTCCTTATGCATCGACTGTAGGAAGTCTCATGTATGCTCAAGTGTGTATGCGTCCGGATATTGCGTATGCAGTTGGGATGTTGGGAAGGTATCTACATAACCCAGGGATGGATCATTGGAAAGCAGCTACACGGGTTTTGAGATACTTACAGAAAACCAAACATCACATGTTAATTTACAGAAAATCAGAAGATTTGGAGATCATTGGTTATACAGATTCTGATTTTGCTGGATGCCAAGACAGTCGTCGATCCACGTCTGGTTATGTTTTTCTGTTAGCTGGTGGAGCTATATCGTGGAAAAGTGTTAAACAAACACTCACGGCAGCTTCAACTATGGAAGCAGAATTTATAGCATGTTATGCGGCATCCAATCATGGAGTATGGTTGCGAAATTTTGTCATAGGGCTGCGAATTGTGAACAAAATAGAAAGACCACTTTGGATATACTGTGACAATAAGTCAGCGGTTATGTACTCCAATAACAACAGGAGTTCTTCTAAGTCAAAGCATATTGACATAAAATTTCTGGTTGTTAAAGAAAGGATACAGAGTAGTCAGATAAGTCTTGAACACATTGGGACGACTTTATAAATTGTCAAAAAAAAATATTATTTAAAAATAATTTTTTATAATAGTTTTAATTAAATGTTTCGTATGATTTGATAAAAATTATTTACTAAATTTATAATAATTAAATAATAAATTTAAAATATAAATATTATCAATTTAATTTATTTTTAAGTAAAAAAATAATTTTATTATAAAAATTATTAAAAATAATCATTATTAAACTTAAAAATTATACTATTGTATTTTTTATTAAAATATAATACTAAAAAATAATATCAAATAATAACACTAAACAAAATCATCACCAATATATATATTAATGTTTTATATAATTTCTAATAAAAATATTTTAGTTTTTTTGTCGAAACGCCGGAAACCGCTACCAAGTTTGGTTGCGGTTGCGGTTGGTTGCGGTTCAACCAGTCAGTTTTTCAATCGCCCGCAACCGCTGGAAATCGCAACCGCTCCGTTTGCGGGTGGCGACGGTGCAACCAGTCGCCCCCTTAACGGGGGAGGTAATGATAGAGTTCATATTGGCGCCAAAGATCTGAACCATGATATGAGCACAAGATCAGCACGTGTTCGACGACCAAACCCACGTTACAAAGACTGAGTCAAGAGTTGAAGTTTTATTGATAGTTTATTCCTTATTGATAATAATGGGAAGATTGCAATCTCCCTGGATTGTAGTTGTTATTGTGATTTCATAATTGTTTGTAATTCCTTTGCTTTTTTCTATAAAATGACGAAGGTGGCAATGAATAAGGCAGAGAGTTTTCTGTCAATTTGACATTTGTTTCTTCAGTTTTTCTTCAGAGTTCTGATTGGGACCTATCAACAGGACAATAACCCGGCAACTGTAGACTGAGTTGGCAAATATCCAAAAGCTCTCATGTCAGAGAACAAATCAAAAGCTTTCTCCACATCCCCACATTTGCTATACGCACCGATCATCGTGTTAAAGGACACAGCATTTCTCTCAGGCATTTTGTCGAATACCTTGGCTGCGGACGAAAACTCGCCATGCGATGCGTAAATATGGACAATGTTGTTGCCGAAAAAGACGGGCTGATGCAAGGAGAAATGTAACGTGATGGTAAGCGCGTGAAGGGCTTTGGTTCTGGCAAGCGAAGGAGCTCTTCTGCACGCATTGAGTAATCTAAGGAGACGCTCGTTGTGCTCGACATAACCTCCATTGATGATGCTCATGCAATAGGCTTAACTCGAGAACGGAAAGGTATTCGCAGGGTTACTGCATATGACAAAAATCTGGAATTGACTAGCAAGAAGTCGATCCCAGGGGGAGGAACAGGATGGTGGGTGTAGGGCAAGTACATGGTTTACAACTACTGCTCCAACGAGAAGCGATACCCTCACGACGTTCCTCCAGAGTGCAACATCCCCTGAATTTCGATTCCATTTACTTAGATTTATTCAAGATGAACTCCAAAATCTAGGTATTTACGTTATTTGATTTCATCACAATTAGCATATTTTGACGATATTATTACGCCGAATATGATATAATAACCGATGGATCTCTATTTTTATAAAAACCGAACCCGAACAGATTACCGAAATACCCACCCCTAATCCAAACAATCCGATTCTTCACAAGCAAAATATCGCCGTTAAAGAGATGTGTGATTGTGTCCATTCATCTTTATATGGATCCATCCATAAATAGAGGGGTTGGGTATTACAAATCTAAGAGAAAAAATGCATTCCGAAATATTCGGTGTATTATATTGTATTCCAAAAACGTCTTGTGTATTACAATGGATGCACAATGGATATATATATATATATATATATATATACGCTATGAAGATTTGTAGGTTCATATAAAATCCAAATAATATTTATAAGACTATGGGATCTACTTGTTACGAGACTGGTTTACCTGTTCTGGACTCTATGATCATATGACCATGTGAATATAATATCATGTGACCATATAACCTTCATCTCAGCACATAATTCTCGAATAAATTCACTGTAGGTTACCTCATAGGGGGTAAAAGAACAACAATATTTGATTTTCCATAAACTTTCCTTCCCATTCATATTCTTCATTTTTATTCAATATCCACATACAGAAAGTATACAATTGTCGATCTCTCATCTTGCACGTAGCACAAATACAAAATGCAGATCAATTCAACTATTCTGGACTCTGTGACCATATGATCATGTGAATATAATACCATGTGACCATGTGACCATGTGACCATTATTATCAT